TACCCAGATTTAGAATATCCACTTACACCAATGAAAATTACTGTGGAGAAAACTCCACCACCGTTTCCTCAAAGATTGAAGCAACACAAGCAGAATAAACAATTTTCCAAGTTCTTAGAAATTCTTAAGAAGTTAACGGTAAACATTCCCTTCGTAGAAGCTTTAGAGCAAATGCCCAATTATGTGAAATTTTTGAAAGATACTCTGAACAAGAAAAGGAAGTTCACTGATAACGAAACTGTTGCACTTAACAAAGAGTGTAGTGCAATTATTCAGAAAAAGCTTCCTGAAAAATTAAAAGATCCTGACAGTTTCACTATACCGTGTGCTATCTGTGAAAAATTTTATGGAAGAGCTTTGTGTATTACAGTTTTGTTGGTTTAACAATTGGTTTATCCTTAAAATGGTTTATAGATGTATAATGAAGATTTTTCGCTTTATATTTTATAATTTAGGAGATTTAACATACCAAATGGTTTTATGTAAATTTGCTTACCAAATTCTCATATTGCCCGCTAATTTTGCAAAGTTATCATACTTTAGTAGATAAGAAGTTCTCCTATTTATTATATAACCATTGAACTTATAGGTAAGAGAACAAATGGACAACACAAGGGACAACACATCATCCGCTAATCGAGCAAAAAAAAACAAAAATGATTTTTTGTGACATAAATTTGAGAGAAATTGAGTTAGGAAAAAGACAAGCAACCTATTTTAGTAAAGATGGCTAGCAAAATATTACCAAATTTTTTTGAGAAATAATGAGTTGATTGAATGATAGAACACAATTAAAGAACAAGTGAGATTAACTAAAAAGAGATTGAAAATTTTGGAAGTGACAATAATTTGATAAATTGACATTAGATTGATTCCAGAGGCACCACTTTCAGAACCGTATTTTTCAAACAAAAATGTGTATTCTAAATAGAATTGTGTTGATATTGTGAGGAGTATTACAGTCACTACTCAACAAGCAACACTTTTAGAACTATATTTTTCAAACAGACTAGCGGCTTCAGAAATACTAGCTTTTGATCAACAGATTTTCAACAGCAACTTCTGAACTGGGCTTTTTTACAGCAACAACGGAAACAAACGCACCCTTAATGTGTGCTTGGAGCATTGGTGTGATGGTAGTGCAGTGCTGCACCACACTTGTTTGTGTTTGACAAAACAAATTTGTCAGTTTTTTTTTTTTAAATTGCAATGAAAAGTTTTGTTTGCAACCTGACCTAGCTAATCTTGGCAAGTGTGATGGCCTAGAAATCCGCAATCTAACTTTTTGAAAATTTTCTTTTTAATACTCGTCATAGTTTTTAGAATAAGAGTTTGTTCTACACTAAATTCACAACTACTACTTCAAATAGTTGCAGCCAACCCAATGAGACTCTTAATACTGATAACTACATAGTGCAAGTAAATTTACATATTTTGTATTACACTTCGTGTTATTGGAATTCTCATGGATTTCAAAATGCAAACTCAGGGTCTATTTGGGGTAGTTGCATCTGTTTGAAGAATCAGCTGTAAAGATGTTGAGGAAAAAACTATTGTTCAAAAAACCGTGATCACTATTATATATATATATATATTAAAAAAAAAAATTTAAATGAGGGCCACCGAAATACATGTTTGCAGTGATGAGAGGTGGAGATCAGATACTGCATACATTTCTGCATATGGTGTCCCTATAGAATAATTTTTCCATTAAATGAGTCACTTGAAGATGGGTCATGCCCTTTAAACATGCAACATGCCTCTAAGGCTTTTTTTTTTATTATCATCATTTAGTAAAATATTGTTCAGAAAAAAACATTTTCAAAATTTGTCATTTCTGCCATAGAAAAGTCTTACAACCAGCACTTCATTACTTGCTATTTTTTTCTTGGGAAATGTGCATACATGTCACAAATTCTTATGTATTTACATGCCTATCATCTAAAATTTAATATTTACACTTTTAACTCATGTATTCACTCCTAACAAAATAATGATGACGATATTTTTAAATTGATGTTAAATTTAAGTGATATGCATGCAAATATGAATGTTTAGTTGTTGAATATGTAAATGCATAAACTATGACATTTAAATCTTAAAATAAGTTGCAGAGCAGATTCACAGAATTTCGCTCGGTCAAACCCGACATACCTTGATCTTCTATTATCTATACGCCTCAATACTATAATTAAATTAAGTTAAATTTTAAAGGGCAATTCCATGGTAATTTTATATTTAGTGTTTAGGATGTAGGATTTAGACATCACAAGGTCATTATCCAGTTAAAATAAGGTATTTTATTTGGTTAGGTAGTTTTTTAAAAAATTAAAACTTCAATTAAAAATAAGGAATTTTATTTTGTGGGCCATAATTGGCTTCTTAGGGACCCACAAGAGCATTGATCTAGAAGACCATATGGTCCTTTTAAGGTTTCTGGATTCATTGTCTCGTGACATTTTAGTATTTAAAAAACCTATCTCTACATTAGTTGCTCCAATAAGACACGGGGTTTTCTCCTTTTAATCTCTGTTGCATAGCAATGCACATGAAGGCATCCACTAAACGCCAAAAATTTACTTATGCCAAGGAGGTTATTCAGATGGTATTGAGGGGTTATATATGTGTTATACCCATATAACTTACCTGTAACCTATCTGTAACCTATCTGTAACCTACAAATATATGAAAATAGAAGCGTGAAACTTACTAGAAGGTACAGGTAGGTTACAGAAAAGTTACAAGAATGTAACGCGGACATAATCCCTTAATATCCTTTGAATAACCTTCCTGACATATTCATGGCATGTGCTACAACACCATTAAACGTCACCTTAGCCGAATGGAGATGGCATCCGCGTTTTACAACCGCAAAAAAAAAATCATTTTTGCGGACCAGCATCGACAAATGATACTTCACCAAATCATACCTTGCGGTTTACTGCATTTCCGTCCAATGCAAAGGAGCTGGAAAGCCGGTCCAAAGCTTTAACCGGCAATGGTATTATTTCTCAAATCCATTCAAGGAAATTTTGTTAAACCCTTTTTTAAGTTGCCGAAGCAGATTCCTTTCATCCATATCCTTTTGAACCACGTTTCAGTCAAAAATAATTGGAAACGGAACTATAAACTTAAGTTTTTAACAGAAAGAAATGCTTTTTAATTTTATTTGTTTTTCATAGTATTTAAAACCATCAAAACAATCAAAACTCGAATTTCACATCAATCTTAATCCACACAGAAACCAAATCTAAAAATCATGCTTAATATACAATAAAATTGCAGACAAAAGTTGTCTACAGTGAGCTAATTGTACAAGAAACCAAGGTAGAACATGGCTTTACGAAGTACATGAAAGCTTCCATACATCCATTCCCATCTGCTGAAGTTGCCTATAGAAAATTAGCAGAGCTTGGTCATGCCCCTGCTACTATAGTATGTAGGACTTGCAATAAAACTTCCTCTTACCAACTTGGACATCTGGCCTCTCATCTTTTCACAAAGCTGCTCAAGCTCAATCACCCTGCTCTGCATCTTCTGCAGGTCCAATGCTGAAATTTCATTCTCAGTGTAATACTCAGATGAATTCTGCTGCTCTGAATTAACTCCCCAGGAACTTGTGGCTGAGGTCCGGCACTCCGCTTCAGCGGCTTTCACCATGTTCGTTCGGATCTGGACCTTGGACTGCTGAGACACCAGTGCCTGGACTGCCACACTAGGAGGGATCCTTGGGTTCTTTGCAAGGTCTTTGCAGGTTTCAAGTGTGAGCTTCTTGTAGTTTAGGCATCGGCACAATATTGTGCGTTCCTCAAAAGTCAAATTCGGATGGGACTGTTGTAAGATTAGAACCATACATGGATTACATTGTTTAAGTTGTGTGAGAAACAACTGATGAATTTCCAAAGAAGATTTAGATATTGCAGCTCAAAAAAGATTGGCAGAAAACATGTTTAGTTTGAGATTTATCAGGAAAAGCATTACTCAGCCGCAATCAAAGCTTAAGAGAATTTTCTACAGTTTTGTTCAATAATTTCATGTAATCATCACACGGTCACAAATTAATAAAACATATGATTTCACCTCAAGATAGATGTCTAAAGCTCTGTAGACCCCATCATACAAGTCTCTTGCTGAATCGGGCAAGCTTTCAGCGACAGCTAGAAACTTGGAAACTTTCAAGCTCTGATCAGGAGAGATTTCCCTCAAGTACTTGTCCACCAACCTCCCTACCTTCTCCATTCTCTGAAAAGACACAAATCCTTCCTGATAGCTCACAAAAACCCTCACCAATCTAATCACCAGATTCACATCATAAACGCCTTCTTTATGTCCTGAAACAAGTAAGTCATCCAATGTTGCCATATCAAGCATTGAGCCAATTAACCACTCAAGCTTCTCCCTGCTTTCTTTTCCAATTCCTAGCCTTGAAACCACACTCAGAACCCAAAATAACCCCCTGCAACTGAACGCATCTCTCCCAGCTATCACCACTCCATGAACTGCTGTATCAGCGATTCCCCTGTAGTCCCTCTTATGACTTCTCTGCTGTACTGATTTGAGATAGTGCAGTAAAAATCTGGTGATGGTCAGATTCTTACTGTCACTTCCATGGGAACCCAGCTCCCTCATCATTTTTTCAATGATGCAGGGTGCAAGGGCTGTTAGGTCTTCAAACCACCACTCAGAACTAAAACCCGAAGCATCTGTTGAGGAGGAGGAAGAAGGAGAAGATTGTAATGGAGTCAGTGAGGTGAGGGGTATTTCTGGGTTGGCTGAGATCTTGACAATAAGACATGAGACGAGCTTTTGCAGGAGGCCACAGGATTCAGCTGCGTTGAAGAAAGGTTCACAGCTTCTAATAGAGGCGAGAATATCATTCCAAGTCCAGTAGAAGAGGCCGTCCAAAAATGTCTCTGTTTGGCTCAAAAGGTTGCAGATGGCAACCTCTTCATTCATCTCAAGAAATATTGCGGCGCAGTAAAGAATGCAAATGTTCGAGGGGTTCATGTTTATCCTGCCATTGCTGTAGCAGAATCTTGAGACCAATTCGAAGCTATCAGGGCCGCCGGGGAAATCTGTGAATCTGATGATGGTTCTTCGCTTTCCACTCTTCACAATCTTCCTCAATCTTCCGGAGAAGGAACAGAGAATACTCTGTCGGGTAGGAGCTCCAGTAGGATGAATCATTGAAGTAATTTCAGAATGGAAATTGAAGAGTTGAGTTGTGAAGTTACCTGGTTGAGGAAGAAGGTGTGATGGTCGTTGATGTAAATCTTCAAATCGAAGAGATTATTCATGGCTATCAGTAGACTGTAAAGTGTAGTTATGAGTTGCAGTGGAGGCGAAGAAGACGGAAGAAAAAGTGTACTGTATAGAAGAGGAGCATAGAAATCTATCAAAGATGTGGTCTTTTTGGCTTCATATCGAATGCTCATAGACAGATTCGTGCATTTGAAATGCTCGGGTACGCTGGCATATATATAAGGCTAAAATCTTGATAAAGATATTCAACCTAAGAGGTGTTTGATAGCCTATTTTAAGTAGGATTAAGGTGCACATATAATGTAAATCCACCAAACATAATTTTATGGTTGTTTATCTTGCCGTCTCTTAAATCAAAATTTTCCAGCGTCGTAACGTAAATCTTGGATTTACTAAATCTTATCAGGAGGTGGAGTTAAAGGATTTACAGTGGACGAACGTCTGCCTCAGTTCTTCCACCAACCTTGTCTCTTAATTCTAGCTCGTCACATAGAAGAAGCTCAAAGGAAATTGACTCGTGTCATCACTTGCAACATGGGAGAAATTCGAAGGTATTCGATTGCATCGTCGCTTTGCCATCCCAATGATGCTCAGTCTTCATCATATTTATTTCTATAAAATGAATAAATTCAAAGAAAATAGTTAGTAACTACCCTTAGATGGTGCCATGCAAGATTTGATTTTGTCCAATCAATTATGAGCACACATAAGTTACAAGGCTCACGTCCTCTTGTTTAGGGATTGGAACTCAACGGTGGATCTAGGATTTTGGCAATGGAACAACTGGCGAAGATTGTTAGGGTTCTAAGTGAAGCTCATGGATGAATCCTGCAGGGATTTGCTAGGGATTTTGGTTAGTGTTAGGTTAAACCTGAAAGGAGCTATTTATAGATGGGGCTAGTGATACCCCCTAATCAAGTGCTCTAACACTCTTGGTCTCACGAAACTATATTGGTCGTATCAGTAACATCGGGTTTCTGAGTGTGGAATATTGATCCCATATAGAATTAGGGAATTGGACTTGAGAGAAATTCTAGCCTACTAGGATTAGTTCTTAGCATGGAATCTAGATTAGGTGAAAGCTCTACAAACTAATACTACAATATTGCAATCAATTTTAGATGTTAAACCCTATAGAAATCCTACTTAGCTTAATTGGATTGGTGATTATGAAGATAAATAATTACCCTCCCTTGCAATGTGATAAGTAGTGTGTAGGAACAAAATACTTAGAATTAAAATCATTGTTAGTGATAAATGGGAGAAATTATCTTTTTTATCCTCTCCTGAGTGCATAAAGAAGTTTGGTTAAACAAATTTTAATTCCTTAAAACCCAATTTGAACCCATCAAAGATTATTTCCTTATCTATTCACATTGCCCAATGGACTAATTTTGCTTCACCCAATAGTTTAATGTGTATACTCTAATCGTTCCTCTATGGCTCTCCCGAGTCATTATGGATCACAACATGTTTTAACTAATTATTTGGCCATAATGAAAAGTATCCTAAGCATGAAAGAATACTCATCACATTAAAGATTTAAAACCAATTTTAAATGCATCCTATAATCCTACACCACCCAAAACCAAGGGAACCAATTTTTTTCTTTTTTTTTCCTTTTAACAATAGGATGTATAGTGCAATCCTTAGTTTTACTTTGATGAAGATTATTATATCTAAATAGGCTTTAATAGTTTTGAACTCCACTATCAGCCCCCTAAAATAAAACCAATCACACTTTCACTTTTTCTTTTAAATTTTTCAAAAGAAATGTGTAATATTTGAAACTTATGATTTTACTAGAGACTAAATTCTCATAAAGTATATATATTGGATACCTGGTTAAACAAGGAAATAATTCTTTGTAAAAGTAAAAAGTGAAACCAATTTTTTACAAGTTAAACTATAAGTTCACTCCACACTAGTCTAAACTCATTTACATAGAATTTAAAATAAAAATATTGTGTTTTTCCTTACTCAATTGCAATAATTTCAGTTTGACTGCACATACCTCAAATTATTTTTTCAAATGATAACAATTTTGAAATACAAGTAACAGAGGACAAATAGGTTTAAGCTTTTAAGAGATTTTTCTCTCCCTCTCACACCACCTCTTTAACATGTATAGCAATGTAAAACATGAATATAAGCAGGAAGTAAATACAACTAAATTACTTTCTACCTCATGATTCTATCATAAAAAATAAACAGGTATAAATAAAAAAGACAAGGAGGAAACAGTAAGTGAATCTCAGTTCAATAAGTTTAACATAATATTTTCATTAAAATAACTATAATATTTCAACAAATCAGTTCAACATGTAGTCCAACGCAATAATAAACTAATCCAAATATTACATCAATAACATCAGCAACAAGACAATAGAAAAATATAAAGAAAGTACATCATCATAGTAGCTTGGAAAATAAAGAAGCTTTAGTACATTCACATCAAAATAAAAATATATTCCTCATCCTCATCATCATCATCATCACCACCACCACCATCATCAGCCTCTTCCTCTAAATCCTCCTCCATCAGTTTGCTCTGCTCTTATATCTGGTAAGGAGGATACATTGGGAACTCTACTGAGTTGTATCTCCCTATCCACTGATTTCTTCTATACGCCTTCATAATGTTAGATTTCTGCTGCTTTATTTCACGCTAATGCGCATGAAAACAGGCTTCATGATCATATTGGCATTTATTATGCCAATCAATATGAGTCAAATGTTCTGCGATGTCAAAAACTTGGGTTTCTGCAATGACGATATCATCTTGTATGATCTTCAAGCGTTTTGACATTGGGGCCATGCGAATAGAGGTCGAGATTGAGAATACAAAGTAGATAGAATTTCTATAATATAAGCTTACATTAGCCTTGATAATGAGCTTCAATGGATGAAGCAACTCCCCCTATTCCTTAAATCTAACACTATAATGCTGACAATGGGCAAAAATAGTGGAGGGATGTCCTAACTTTAGAGTAGATCCTCCCTTAATAGCATTGAAAATGTTGTGGTAAAAAAGAGAGCCAATGTCTATGGTTTTCATAGTATGAATACAGTAATTGAGAGCAGCTCTCTCACGCGTCACCTCATTAGATTGGTGGAAGAGAGAATCTTGGCAGAAATGAAATAATTCCAAGCCTAAGAAGGTGCATTAAGTTTAGATGAAGAAAAGTTGACCTATTGGTCATTCCTCATCTTCCAAGTTCCTTCCCCATTAGTAAAGAACTTGATAATCTCATCAAGCTCAATACCAGTAGGGTCAAATCTAAAGCAAAAACTTCTTGGAATATCTCCAAAAAAAATGCATTAATGCGTGATGGGGAGATTTTCAGTTGCTTCTCTCTAACAAAAATTGAATCATTAGAGGCATCAGGGAGGTTAACATAGAACTCCCTAACCATAGAAATCACTGCTATAACTGTAGTGTAGCAAAGAGCCGCTCAATGAAGAGCCACAATCATACTTTCTACAACACCTCTGGGGCTAATGAAACCCAATTCTGGAATTAGCTTTTTTTATACTAAGAATTCGTTATAACACTCCTGAGCTTTGGAGCTAATGAATTTTTCCTATTAAAAATACTTGTGCCTTTGCTTCCCTTGATTTTGGGTGACATAAGTAAGATAGATTATGCAAATTTCAATGGATGAGGTTAAGAGTTTGATGTAGATGCACACAATATGCAAATTATGGGCTTAATCAAACTCTCCACAGAAAATTCCTCTCTTCTTCATGAATTTCCCAAAAACTCAAAATTCTTGAATGAAATAAGGGATACAAGCACAACAAGCAAAAATTTACCTTAGTAAGGTGATTTTCACTCTTCAAAGCCTCTAGGATGAGCAAAAATGCAAGGGGAATGAAAGCCCTAAGAGTCACCCCTAAATCACTAAAGAGGAGCCGTGAAGAAGCTCATGCAAAAAAGACATAAACCCGAGTAGTTTTGTAGATTCCTCCAAACAGGAAGGAGTGGCACCTAGGTGTCGTGATGGTGGAGCCAAGACACTTGCGTGCAACACCATTGTGCAGGGATATTGACGCTTAGGCGCTAGTACTGCCCTTGAAACTTTGGTGTCAGGAATACTTAGACCCATATGCTTGATTCAAATTTGGTCATGGTCATTTAAATTAAATATTTTGATCCTCTCCAAGTACTTCATCACATCGATAAACACATAAACACTAATGATAAATTGGAATCACTCATGCTTCTCACCACATCTCCCTTATCTACTTCCTCATCTTCAACAAAATCTTTTTTCATTAAACTACAGGGTGTTTATAGATATTTTGTAGTCAATCCCTTGGGCAATATTGTTCCTGATCAATTTGCTTATGTTTTTCCAAACCTCAGATGTTTTCTTTTCCTTTAAGGTGTACTCCACTAACAAATTAAATGAATGAAACATCCACATTCTTCTCTAATGGTTGGTTTATTGAACCACTAAGATGGAAGATTAAGGTAAAAAATAGGAAGTAAATAATTGAGATGTACCTTTTCTATGTCCAAACTCAACATGTCTCTGGTATATCATTAATTCTGATTGACGGCCAAGATATAGAGGATATGCTTGATCCTACCGCTCCTAGAGAACATACACAAGTTTAGTTACAATGAGAAGACTAAGGAATTGCCTCTCTGAAATCACATTGAGATCAAAGCAATCCACTCTCAAACCTAAACATAAAAAAACATATATAAACAATGCACACCACAACAAACAACAACACAACATACTAAAACAACAACAAACTTGGGTTTCCTCTCAAGAAACACTTGGTTTAATGTCATCAGCCCGATGATTCAAATATTTACTCAGGTTGACCCAAGATTAGGACCTCATTAACTATATGTATTTCACCAACAAAGTAGGCTTTAAGTCTTTGTCCATTCACTTTTAATACCCTACCACTTTAAGAATCTTTAATATCTATAGCACATTAAGGATAAACTATAACTACAGTAAATGGTCATGCCCACCTGAACTTAAGTTTTTTAGGAAATAATTTCAATCATATATTTTATAGTAAAACCTTCTATCTAGGCTCACAATTATTCCTAAGAATCTTTCGATCATGCCATTTTTTATTTTATCTTTATAAATTCTTGCATTTTCTTAATTATCTTGTCTAATTTCCTTGAGTTCGTTTAACTGTAATA